ACAAAAAAGGTTGAAAAACACTGAGTTAAAGAGCTTTCCAAAAGGGAAAAAAAAGTTTTTGCACTCTGTAAACCTCCCAAAAACGGCCCGTGTTTTGTGAATTTTTTCAATTTTTTTTTATTTGGCGAATAGCATTCGTTTTTTTCCAAATAAAAAGCATGAATAGCCTTGTGGGGAGGCTTGCAGAGTATAGTGCTGCTGGGGGCTGGGGGGGGGGCGACGGCCCATGTTTTGCTCATTTCTGCGCTCCCCAGCCCCCATGAGCTCTCTGAAAGCCTCCATAAGGGAATGCCAGTTTGAACTGAGATAATGGAATGCGAAGCAACTGACAGTTGGAACAGAGTTCTTTTCAGGTGGGAAGGGGGAGCAGAACTCCTTAGCATCAGTGTGTGTTAATTAATGTATAAGAAATACTAATGATCTGATGGTCATTTTGAAAAATACTTTCTTAGCAAGCACCTAGAAGCCAAGAGGAACATATGTGCCAAATTTCAAGTTTTAGGCTTTACGGTTCTGGAGATTTCATGATGACTGAGTAGTACTTGGCTTTTATATATATATAGATAAGCAATAAACCCCAGCATGGATGATGTTACCTAGTTGGGTAATGAAATGTATACAAGCAAATAACTAAGCTTCCATCAATATATCAAAAAGGTCAGTTGATGTAGTAGGGGTTTGTTGTCATCAAGAAACTAATCACATATTGTCCATTTTGGACAAAGCTAGATGATAGACTACACATGCATATTATGCTTTTAGCAACAATTATTGGACCCAGTCAGGACAAAAACTGTACAGGATCTTGCTTTTAACCCCTTTCCCCACTATACAAAAGGTATGTTTAACATCTCATTCCAGTTGGGGTTGGGAAAATTTTTTGTTTTTTAAAAAAGTTAAGCACAGTAAGTAATGCCAGGTTGCTTTAAGAAAACAGAACGAGTCCATTTTGAAAGTGTAACACCTGACGTTCTTGGAGAGCCAAATTAAAACACAGTAAATAGCATTTATCAAGCTTCAATATTAGGAAGGTGAGTATGAAGGTCATGAAGTATAATTCAAATATTTCCAATTTGAGATTTAAATTTTGCTGCTCACTGTAAATTTTCTTATAAAAGAACAGAATAATTCTAATGTTCTATTGTTGTCACCAAAGTATATTATGATATTAAATTGAGAGTCTGAAAGACAATTAAGACTTGCTGATTGTTAATTTATGCTCACTGTAGTTTTAAACTACCATTTAGCATACTATTTTCCAAATCAAGGCAAGTCTTTTTTTGCTGGGCCTTGATTACTGTATAAATTACACATACTGCAGATATCTTCTTAAGAAGCATCTGCTCTGCTTATATATGCTTGCATTTTCAGGTTTTCTTTCAGATTTATAACACCATATACCATAATACTATTTTATTTAATAATGTAATTAAAATAATGTGTGCATCTACATACAGTGGTTTTTATTTTTGCCATCTGTAGTACTTAAAATACATTGAATAATAACTAATCCCAAACACAAACCTCTGCATTGAAAACAACTGAAATCAAACTAAACTAAAAAAACACAGGAAAATGAAACTCATATTTTTAGTATGTGTTTATTATCAGTTTCCCAGTCAGTACATATAAATCAGGCACAGTTCTGAAGTAGTCTGTGATAGTTAATTCACATGCATTTTGTTTGTTTGTTGAAAAAAAAACAATTTTAATTGTACTCTTATCAATAGCATTACTCATAGCATAAAATTAAGATTCTCTTCTCCCTCTGCCTTAAAAATGTAGCCAATCACATATAAGATGGATATATAAATTATGTCGCCATACATGATAGGTACAAGTTATCCTTGATAGAAAGACACAGTATGTAATTGTTGTCAAGTAATTAAAAATCTCCATGTCACATTATGCATCTTGGAGGCAACTCTCTACCTATGCAGTTGTTAACACTGTAGTGGTTGTCAGTGGCAATTTTGAACAATGTGCAAATTGTCCAAATATTATGTTGACACCACTGGAAAAACGCATTTTCAGCAGTCTGTGAAGATATTCTGAGTTCTTTGAATTTAGTTGAGGAAACCCACCTGTTTTATGTTTCCAAGAAAGTGCTCACATATTGCTTTCACTTCCAACTATGCCTAAGTATAAAAAGGTAAACATAACCCAAGAAATGGAACTTGTTAACTTTAAAAGGAGTTGCTTTTGGCAAAAGTTAAAATCACACCAGTAAGAGGCTTTGATACTTCAATTTGACATACTCTACTTTGATTTCCTTCCTTCAGTGCTTCTCATCTCCTTGGAATGCCTTCTGTCGAAATGTTTTTATTTCTTTTACTTTCTCTCTCCAATAGAAGATACAAGAATCGGATTCTGTTTCAGAAAAGCCCACAAGATCTTCGTTACCTGAGGGAATGATATGACGGTCTCTCCTGCCTGTGATTGCTCATACAAATGGTGACTAGACTGGAAAATAAATCTTAACACTGGTAGTCCAAAATGGCTGCTGAGAGAAAGGACAAACCGCCTGGCACTGTTTTAACCTCCAACACTTTGTCATTGCTCATCTCCTGCTGGCTGAGATAAAATGAGAGCCAGCAGTTCTCAGGGCAACATACGTCAACAGCTGTTCTACTTCAAGGACACGAAGAGCGGGATAAAAAACAGTGGGAAAGGCAGAAAGAACAGCAGTGGCTATGAGAAGGAAACTACATCTCACAGTGACAGAGAGAAACTGACTGCTTACAGCAGTCTGGCTACAGTTTAGTTTGCAAGGAAGAATCTTTTAAAAAATTAGACTATCTGAAAGACTTCTGAGTTTAGGCCTGATTAGCAATCTCGCCAAGCTGTGTGAAGCAAGGGATTTCTCTTTGGTCTTGATCTGGGGAATCTGAAACTTGCCTCACAAGGCCCAATGATAGGACTTGTCCTAACAAGAGCCAAATGTGTGCAAGTAACAATGTAAGTTATGAACGGTTCCTAATTTCATGATATTGCAGTTCTTTCATGGATGGCAAAAGCAAGACATTATTCGGAAGAAACTGTACTGTCACCTTTTCAAGGTTATGTGTGTATTAGAGTAGCCAATTCAGCCCAATCCAACGTACCCTGGTATTTTTGATTCCCTCACATAGTAAGAAAAATGTATTTTTGAATATGTCAGCATTTGCCATACAAATACATTATCTTGGAAGGTTAATTTTCGCCTATACTTTTAATTCCCCTTTGGGGGAAAAAAAACCAGTGCCAAAATCAGAAGTTGGTTTGCAAAGTACATAAAAAAGGTGTAATCCTTAATAACAGAAAACTATAAAAACAGACACAAAAATTATGTCCTTTGGATAGCTAATATAAAACATAGACTTAAAAAAATAGCAAACCAAATAAACAGGAGTTGGTGAAGTTCATGTCAGTTCTTGATGTAAAAGAGTGACAAGTGGTAATATTGTGCATGGACTTTTGTATCACAAAATGCCAAACAGGTTCTATCAAAAAGGATGATGGATGATACAGTGCCAAGCCAACAGTAAGTTATGTGCAGAGGCCTCTTCAGAGGACACTAAAAATTCACTCTTCTGTCAGCATTGCATGTGATTCAGGAGTGAGGAGCATCTTCTCTCATGGCAACCCCTGCTCCCTTTCTCTGAGGTTAGCATTGTACACCAGGTGTCAAGTGTTCACTTTACTTGTACAGTGTACTGGTCTTATTATCTGCCTTAATAAAACAAAAAGGAAGACGGAACCACCCTATCAGGGATGAACAAAACTGCCCTGAAGTTGGTGTAGAAGGAAAGGAAACAGGACTTATAGCGTTAATTGCAAACCCGTGGCAGGCCTTATTCTAATTTCACATCTCCCGGCTTCCCCCAATATAAGAAAACAAAGTTTGGGGAGGCCACTGTAGTAGTGACAGGAAATGAGCAGGAAATCAATAGATCTCTGACCCTTAGCTCATTAGATGGAGGATCCGGGTACCATCCTGGGTCTGCAACAGAGGAAGACATAATATTGGAAGAAGAAAAGCTGCCAATCAAGCACACAAGGATAATCCTTGGAAGAGTACCTGGATTGCCAGCAGGGGTTTTCTTCAGCTGATCTGTTTTCAACACCTTTGAACACCTGACCAGTTTGCTAGGGAAGCAATCTTATTCCCAGCAGTCTATGTGCCTTCAGTTATTATTGGGTTTCACTATAGCATTGTGGGTGGCTTCTTCTCTATGATTTGAGTGCTAGGCTGGAAATTCGTTGCTAGGCTGTCGCCGGAAATCATCATTAACCGCAAGATAGGTGGCTCGCATACTTGGAGAATACTAGGCAGAGGAGAGAAAACGGGAGAGAAGTTATATGTTGTGGTTTCAATAACAAGCATAGGATTTTACTGATAGAAACTACAGGAGATGAAATACTAGCTCCAGAACTAACCAGAAATAAATGTGCTGATGATTTTTGTACCATCAGGAACAGAAGAACATGCTTGACTATTAGCAGCAGAGGTGGAGTGGGATGAAATGACAATAGAAAGGCAACTAGAAAGCAAATGTTGGCAAGGCCTAAAGATCTTGTGATTCCAATGAGAAACTGAGATAGGCATCCAGCTGCTATTTTCCACTACTGGGATACAGAAGTAATGGAGAGAAGGAGAATCTTTCACAGGAAAGTTGTGAGTTGATTACACACACACCAACAGCAAAGTACACATTAGACCAGTATTGAGCTTTGTACTTTTTAAAATTCAACAAAAAGTGTAAAAAAATTTCTTTTCCATTATAGATATAGAATATAGAAGGGACCTGGGCGGTCTTCTAGTCTAACCCCCTGCCCAAGCAGGAAACCATATATCATTCTGGACAAACGGCCATCCAATCTCTTCCTAAAAACTTCCAGTGATGGAGCACCCACAAATTCTGAAGGCAAGCCTTGAAGGAGTAGAGTAGAACAGAAACAGAATAACAGAACTGGAGGGGGCCTTGGAGGTCTTCTAGTCCAACCCCTTGCTCAAGCAGGAGACCCTATACCAATGATGGTGAACCTTTCTGGCATTGAGTGCCCAATGAAACGCACGTGCATGCATGACAGAGGGCCAGAAACCCAAAGACCAGTTGGCTGGTGCACATGCATGTGCTAGCCAGTTGGTCTTCGGATTTCTGGCACACATGTGTGCTGGCCAACTGGTCTTCGTGCACATGGGAGCAATGGAAAATAGGAGGCCAGCTGGCTGGCACACACAAATGCCTGTTTTTGGCAGAGGGTTTGCCCATTTTCAGGCAGTTTTTCAGCTGTTTTTGGGCCAAAAATGGCCTGAAATGGCCTGATAGATTTTGCCCATTTTGGGGGCAGTTTTCAGGCACTCCGGCACCCGCAAAGACCAGGTAGCCGGTGTGCACGTGTGTGCCCGAAACCAGAATAGTAGCTGGAATAGTGCATGTGCCCACAGAGAGGGCTCTGCGTGCCACCTCTGGCACACGTGCCATGAGGTTCGCCATCACGGCCCTATACCATTTCAGGTCATCTCCAGACCCATTATCAAGAAAATGATAATCTTTAGGGAAGATGATAGAATTAAGTTCTTTTCACTATTAATTTCCCTATTCCTCACTACTATCTAGACGACCTCCAAGGAGGAGAGGTAAGAGTTGGGTTCATTAATACAGACAGTGATGTGCGGTGAGCTTTATGGCTGGTGAGGCAGCTTTTTAGACTTGTGGACTTCAACTCCCAGAATTCCACAGCCAGGCATGCTCAGTTCCGATTTAAAGCGACAGCATTTTCCCCCCTTGCAAAATAAGTTTTCCCATTCTTTTTCTTCTCCCTTCCCCTCCTTCCTCCTTCCCCCCTCTCTCAAACAGACACACACACAGAGAGAAGTTGGATCCCTCTTTCACTCACTCATTCTCAAACAAACACAATCACAGAAGTTGGATTGGATATATTTTCCAAAGGCTTGAAAGCAGCTCCTCTGCCATACCCCCCCCTTCCCCTGCTGCCTTCCGATCTGAGCCTTTGGTTGCAGGTGAATCATGTTGTCTTTTCAAACTTGTAATCAGTGAAGCTGGGCTAATATACTTTTATCCAGCTGTGTGTGTGTGTGTTTGTGTGTTTGAAAAGGCAACGTGGTTCTGCATGCAATCAAACTTTTTGAATTCCTCCCCCCCCCACGACCTTTTCCAGCTGTTTCAGAGAGGATTTCAACTCTGCTTTTGCCTGCCCTCATGAAAGGCCAGAGCTCTGAGTCAGACTGAGCTAGTTGCTCCCAGAGAACTCTAAAAAGCCTCTAAAAATGCCCTCTACAGGAGGCGAGAGAACATGTGCCTCCTTTGCATACGAAATTTTTCGCTTTTTAACCCTTGCTTAACTCTTAAAAGGCGAAAAATTGCTTATGCACAGGAGGCCCCTAGTTCTCTTGCCTCCTCCTATAGTTAACACTAAGCACTGTTCCAAGTCACTATGACTTGGAATCTGGCAGCAACTACCTTGGCTTTAATTATTTTAAAATTCTTTCCTTTTCCTCATGACTGGTGAGGCCACGCCTCCCCTGCCTCTAGTGACTACACGTCCCTGAATACAGACAACCCAAAAAGTGTTAGGAACCCAATGGGATCACAAATTTCTGGTATACTGGAAATGCAATGCTAAAGAACAACTGTGTGCCTATTTACACACACTTTTCCTAATTGTATCAATGACTCATAATAAAATTAGAGAACAAAAACCTTCCCTAAATCTGTATCCTCCAAATGAGTTACAATCTGTAGAAATCCCTCCTCCCACCCAATTGCTGTACGGAATAGGACAACTCACCATGACCAACTTATCACAGCCAACTCACTGTTGCCAATTCTCCATGGGCAATTCAATGCAGCCAATTTGCCACAGGACAACGCGCCATGGGACAATCCAACAATTTTATTTAATTATTTAAAAGAATTTAAAACTTTTGCTCTTAAGCAAGTTGGCCCGCGGTAACTTGGCCATGGCGAATCATCCCATGGCAAATTGACCATGGTGAGTTGGTTGTAGTGAGTTGTCTTAGACCAGGGGCATCAAAATCAAGGCCCGGGAGCCAGATCCAGCCCATGGGGTGCTTATATCTGGCCCATGGGGCTGCCCTAGAAACAGCGAAGGACTGATCCACAGTACCTCTGCCAGTAAAAATGGGCTCCAAATCTCATTTTTTTGCTGGCAGAGGGTTGCAGGAGGCTGTTCCAGCTGAAAACGGTGATTGGGAGCCCATTTTTGCTGGCAGAGCACTTGGGCCAACACATGCGCCCTCAACACAAGTGACGCCAAGCTGGCCACACCCACTCCCCCCCCCAGGTCAAACACAACCCTTTTGCAGCCCTCAATGAACTTGAGTTTGACACCCCTGTCTTAGACCCTTTCTGTAGTTTCAGGATATCTGGGGGACATTAGATTAGAGAATGCAGGCCTGGAAAATATAATTGGTATATATGAGTGCAAGAATTTATTATGAGAAAGTTACGTCTTTTCAGTCACAGAAAATTATTCACAGATTACTTTTCTGGAACAGAATAAAACTTGAAAGTGTTTCCTTAAGTCATTTAAATCTTATTCAAATTCGACTACTTGCTATATGGAAAAGAGCTACATTTAATTTTACCATCATCTTTGAGGTTTTTGCAATAGCAAATATCTGCAAGAGTGAGATTAAAGCCTCCAAAAACTGGCACAGCCCCAACATTTAAATGCCCAAATTAGAAATAGTTCCTTGACTATTCAGACAACTGTTAGGCTTGAAAATAGATTGTGGCAGCTTGTAATACAAATATCAACTACCATATTTTTCGGAGTATAAGACGTACCTTTTTCCCTCGAAAAAGAGGCTGAAAATCTGGGTGCGTCTTATACAATGAATACAGCATTTTTTGCCTCCCGAAACCCAACCTCCTTCACCAAAATGGCTGTGCATAGCTTGTAGGAAGCTTTTAGAGAGCTCCTGGGGACTGGGGAGGGCAGAAATGAGCAAAAAACGGCCCATTTTTGGCTCAATTTTACCCCCTCCACCAGCCCCCAGGAGCACTCTATAAGCTTCCTAAAGGCTATTCATGCATTTTTCATTTTGAAAAAAAAGGCCCATTTTCATGAAAAACAGGCCATTTTTTGCTTGTTTTTGGCCCCCGCACCCCCCAGGAGCACTCTGCAAGCCCCCTAAAGGCTATTCATGCATTTTGGGGGGGAAAAGGGAGGTTTGCAGAGTGCAAAAACTTTTTTTTTATTTTCCTTTTCAAAACCTTCGTGCGTCTTATACTCCGAAAATTACAGTAGTCTTCTTAATCATTCATCAAGCAGGCAGCCTTTCTACATATTCTTTCCACCTTTCAGGTTGATTGATATTAATTTTAATAGTTCACAACACAGGACAATTACTCCATGAAGCATATACATTTCCCAGAATAGTATACAAATTTGCATTTTTCTAGGACATTGCAACATAAACCTGAGTATGCTTACACATTGTATGAGAACCCAGTGTCAGTGACTATGCAGAATGCAAGAATTCAGTTGTGGCATTAAAAGAGCAGCTGTTATTCTGTTTACATCCTAGTGACTGAACTAAAATGTACTCACTTCTCTGTTTTATGACGCATGCAAAGTTCATCCATACAGAATGATGGTGAATGGCTTAGGTTTTGTCTGTCTAGGAAATCACTTGTCTCTGGAAAACTGGTTCCATTAACAGATCAGCAGCTTCAGCTTCCTGAGTGATAGAGTAGGATTATTCTGCTTTGTCACCTCAGAAGAGAAACTCAAGATCTTCCCCATTTGTGGCCGAGAGGGCCAGAGGCAATCTTTCTACATTCCTTCTTGAATAGCCTCTCCAAATGTACAATAGGTACCAACTCTGATCCATTTCAAGAAGGCTATTAAGACAATATTGCTCCCCAGAGTTATTAATAGCTAATTTAAATGTCACCACTGTGATGTGATGTTAGTAGGTGGATATTTAATTTATTGTAATTGTTTCATTCATTTGGTGTTTTGTTTTGTGTAAACCACTGGGAGTCACACCTAGAATATATAAAAAATTTATATAAAGTGTCACCCTTTGCGGTTCCTTTGGCTAGTTCTTCTTTGGAACAGCTAACTCACCCCTCTCATATTTATTATCAGAACTGTTAAGACACGCATTAACCACAGAGGCATAATTTGTATTTGATGTTTCATTAACATTAAAGTCTTATTTTTAATAACTTATGAGAGCCTGGTCTGGGTTCAGTTTGGTCAACTACTTTGGTAGTCTCTGCAGCTAAATAGCAAATGACTGATTCACACATGGGGTTGTCATAACGTGTTTGGTTTATGGTTTATCATGAATTCATGGTTATGGTCTACACTCCATGCTTTTGCTATTGGGATGGATTCAGACATCATGTAAAGCCAACCCTTCCCTCCTCTCCAACACCCCAGAAAAGAATTCAATGAAGTAAGGCTGTTTTTCAGGGCTCAGGAAACATGCCTACTTTTTGCAGTGATTTCCCCCCAGAGATTCATGTGGCTCCTACTCTTGTATCATTCAGGAAACTATTAAGACCTGGGTGTACTGATTGGGGACAGGATAATTTTGTCCTTCCGTTTTACTGTGTTTTGAATACTCTGAACTTCCAGTTAGTGGTATCTTTTATATGCTTTCATAGATAAATTAGTTCATGGTTGTAAACCGCTCAGAGTCTTTTAGGGCTCAGGTGACCTACATATTAAATAAATAAGAAGAAATAATAATGTGGCAAATGACAACTTCAGATAGGGACATAGGAAGTGGAAAGGCATTGGAGTTTTTCATTTCTTCTGTACTTTACATATGCATCTGCTCTAGTTTATTACTTATCAAAGGCTAGGGACATATTTTACTCATTATGGACTAAATTGATGAATACCCTTTCCAATAATTTTCCTGTTCTTTTAATTCACGTTTAGGGCTCATTGATGTAATTATTCATTTTTATGGTAGTGTTGAGCATTTCCATCATCAGCCCAGAATTGACTGTAGCTTGGTTGTTGTTGTTTTTTTTTAAAAAGAAACACAAGCTGTTCAGTGCCTTGGGTCCCTTTTTTTGTCTTGCTTGTAAACATCATTTTCTACTTTTGTTCTAAGTGAAACATTTTAATCCAATGGAAAAGTAAGTAAGGTTTGTACCGGAGGGAGGGAGGGAGGGAGGGAGGGAGGGGGGGGGGAGGAAGGAAGGAAGGAAGGAATTTTAATTTCATGGTGATTGATATTGTACTAACACGATGTCTTCTGAATTAGAACTAGATTCATGGTAAGCACTATTACCTTCAATTGGCAGTAGAAGCTTATGGGGGGAATGTGATCAAGTGAAGTTAGGTCTCCACCATGCAAGAAATAGTCAAGAACTGAATGCAAAAGTAATGCAATCCAAACAATAAGAGATATCAATTAATATATTGCTAGTCCTATCTGTAACATACATAACGAGATAGATAAAGAGATAGTATTACCCTTTTCAATACTTACCAAGTCTTAATCTGTGCATAAACATGTAAATAACTTCTCCCTCCAGAGCCTCATACCTTATCATGAGTTTTTTCACAAAATTTTAATAGGAAGGAACAATCAAATTTACTCTGGACACCTTTCACACAACTACAGAAAAGCAGCAATCTTCTCTTGCACTCTGCCTTTGTAATATTCCCCCATTCCACTTCTCTATACAGGAGAAATACTTCTTGTAACTGATGAAGTGCATTGTAATTTCCAAAGTTGTAGGCTTTGTTAAATCTGTTTGGTTTCAAAGGCCCCTACTAGTTTGATGTTTTATTGAAACATGGCTGTCCTGTGGGAACTTTCCAAAAGGAAATCTCCAGCTGAGTAAACCATAACAGTAACAGACCATTTGGAAAGCTCACAGCATCAAATTCAAGAGCTTTTACTTATTGACTATTTAAATCAGCATGACTGGAAGTCTGGAATAAACTTTTTAAAAAATGTTATTCCCAGCATGGGTTCTCAGCATGAAGGCAATTGGGGAAGCAGCTCTACTCAAGAGGGTTTTTAATTTTGCCCATTTGAAACACCACACTCAATCCATATGCAGCATGCATTGTTATGGGGAAAAGTAAATAAACTGAAATTACCAGAAATTTTCCCCATGATTCTGCCCTGCAGAAACCTTGAAAATGTCTCCATTGTCAATTAACATAATCCACTCTGCTAAACTTTTTCAAAATATGGCATTCTCCAGATGTGCAGGGACTGCAGTTCTATGAATTTTCAACCAGCAAGACCAAATGCAGGGACTTATGGACGTTGCAGTCCAAATACCAATTCGCGGAAGGAGGCAGCGAGTCTAAATGCAAACTAATGGCAATTTTGAATGCCCACAGTCCATAGATTCTACAGTATTTGTATATTGGAAAGTTGGGGGTATTTACAGCACAGGGAAATCTCTTATGAAAAAGTAGGGTGGGGGAGGAGGAAAACACCCCATCCCTCCCAAGATATTTTAAAAATGCAAACACCTTAAAAGGCAATATACCTCCAAAACAGTTGATTGAAAAACAAAACAAGGATTGCAAGCAAGATTTTTAAAAAAATCTTATGTTAAACAAAAAAAGTGATATGCATAATAACATTATATATTTGAAGAAAAAACATTTTATAAAAGTAGAATAAGATGGGGAGAAATTTAAAAAAAAGATGCCCACTCATTTTCTAGATGAAACAGAAACGTGCAATTCTTGCCTCCACATACAAACAATATGTTAAAGATGCAGGGGAAAGCCAATTTGATCTTGTGATTAAGGGACCAGGTTAGAAACCAGGAGGCTGTGAGTTCTAATCCTGCCTGAAGCATGAAAGCCAGCTGGGTAAGTTTTAGCCAGTCACACTCTCTCAGCCCAAGCCACTTCACAGAGTTGTTGTTATGGGGAAAATAGGAGGAGGAAGAAGTATTAGGTTTGTTTGCTGCCTTTGAGTAATTTATAAAAATAATAAAGGTGGGATTAAAAAAAATATATCTAAAAAAACCAACTGAAATATATAAACTGTGTAACATGCGTTGAATAACACAATCACGCAAGCTATAGAAACAACAGCCAAAGTCTGCCAATGTGATAAGAATTGCAGCACAGTCTTGCACAGCAGTTTGCCTGAGTGACTAGCAGCCAAATAGCAATGCAATGTAATGCAACACAATGTTTTCTGCTCTTTCGCTATACAGCTGCCTGAAGCCAACCAGAAAGATGCCATCTTAGTGGGAGATATATTCTACACTGCGTCTCATTGATAGAGCTAAAACAATTGTGGGAATAACAATAACAACAACAACAAAATCAGCTTCCAGAGGGCAGCAATTTTCATCTTCAGATAGCAGTCTAGATTCTGGATTGTTGTTCCATTGAAAAGCCTGCATTTAAATCATATACTGCCTGTTTCTTCATCTCTAACATCAAGGAAGGGGGGGGGGGATCCCATAAACTAGTATTTTGTATTTTCTGACAAAAGCCGGAGGATTTTTCATCCCAGTTTTTAAAGAAAATGTGTTTGTTAAATTGAACAGGAGTGTTAGTAAAAGCAGGGGTGGAAGTGGAGGGAAATAAAGGGTTTGTTATAAAAATGATTTAGCCTCCGGAGCCCACCATACCGTGGGGGGAGGTGATCCTCTTCCAATCAGGGGGACGTTTTCATATCGTGGATTCCCACCAAAGAGCACAGCTTGGTTCCTGCAGGTAAAGAGGAGTCAGATCAGGAGGACAATCTATTAAAAGGAAATCTCTTATGGGCTACGAAATATTCCTGACATTCTTGCAGAAGCAGGGGATCATTGTTGGGGGCAGAAGACTGTGGGAGTGGGGAAAAAGTGGGAGTGAGGATACACTGGGTATTATTCACGCTCATGTTTGTGTCCGAAGCACTTATGGTGCTTCCAAGTTGAAACAATTAGCCAGTGACATCACTGTTGCTCGGGGGACATCTGGTTGGGTGTTCTTTCATGTCCTCATTAATGTGCCCACAAAAGTGGTATCTATCTATCTACTTGAGATTACATGCTTTCGAACTGCTAGGAGCTGGAGCGAATGACGGGAGCTCATCCCATCACGCAGCAGCACTTGGATCTCGAGCCATTTATTAATTTTTCTCCTTGCAGCACATTGAAGATATTTTAGAGAGGGAATCATTAAGCATCCATAAATGCCCTGATCACAAGTCTTTTTTGCCCTGGTACTCTCCAGATGCATTACATGGAAACTTACATCATCTCTAGTTCAATACTCAAAGATAGAGCTGGCTGGGGAAAATACAAATGTTACTCCCAAGACATCTGAAGAACGCCCGATTGGGAGAAGCTACACCAGCTCTCATGAGTTGTCTCCCTGATCTGTAAAACACCGTGGGGAAGGAATTCATTCTGGATCAAACTCCTCTACATTCAATGAGCACCATGTATTGCAAAGAAAAACTTGAGCCTTGAGAACAATAGCAAAGGATATGCGTACCCTCTTTCTTTTATGCGCAATGGTTGTGAGAGGAAGGACACCCAGGGAGGCACCCAGGGACAGATTAAAAAAACAGTAGTTAACATTCTGCCCCTCTGAGGCCTAGCAATGCTCCAAGTTTATTTTACAACATCCTCCAAAGGAGAAAGAGGATGAGAAGAATAAGATGATGACTGGTTGCTTATCAAGTCAAAATTTAAGGTTGACCCATCCTTCCGTGGTGGGTAAAATGAGGACCCAGATTGTTGGGGGCAATAGGCTGACTCTGTAAACCACTTAGAGAGGGCTGTAAAAACACTGTGAATTGCTATATAAGTCTAAGTGCTATTGCTATTTAACACAACTTTTCCTAAATGTTCTTCAGACATCTGGGCCTCCCATTCCCATTATCCCCAGATGATAGGGAATTTGGACATGTAACCAAGGTTACTAGGTGAAAGGCTGGCAACTCAGCAGTTTCACTGAACTGTGCAATCACAAGTAAGTGGGATTATATTCCAAGTGGGAAACCAACTTTTCTGCAAATCGTCTTTATATGGCAGAATTTATATGCCTGTGAAAATCTCTTGGTACTCCACTCAGGTAGATTTTAGGTAGCGTTGTTTCCCTCTGAGGATTTACTATAATGTACAGTATCCAAAAGAACAGTTTTGAATCAGCTTCCATTTTTAACCCAGATCTGGAATCAGCAACTAGGTATGTTTCTGAGGTCGCACAATTTTTCTGTCTTCCTATCTAAATTGGAGTCATAAAGGCGGGCAGAACAATGCACCCTTCCTCATCTCTATGACTGGACAGAAAAGAGACAACTTGTTTGATTGCTGCTTATCAGAAGCACTTTTGATTTCTAAGTTTTTGCAGCAAACAGTTCAGAGAACTGAAGGGAGAGACCAGATGGTTCCCACCAGAAATGGAAAATCTGCTCCTCGACATTTTGGATGGACTTTCTCCTCCAATTAGATAGAGCCGAGGTAGCACAATGGTTAGAGTGCAGTACTGCAGGCTACTTCAGCTGACTGCTAGCTGCAGTTCAGCAGTTCAAATATCACCAGGCTGAATGTTGACTCAGCCTTCCATCCTTCTGAGGTGGGTAAAATAAGTAAACAGCTTAGAGAGGGCTGTAAAAGCACTATGAAGCGGTATATAAGTCTAAGTGCTATTGCTGTTGCCCTTTTCCATTGTTAAACCTTGCTCAAATTCAGTAGTCAATTCAACGATAACACCATCTCCCTGAAGGAAACACTAACAATTTATGAGGATACTGAAGATATGGGTTCAACAGCTGCCTGAAATCCAAAGTAGGATTAAGTAGTACATAATACACATGTGCCTAGTGACAGATGGGATATGATGCCATCTCCAGAGCTTCCCCACCATGCTCTTTTCTGGTGGCTGCTGGCATCTACAGCCAGAGAATCAGTACTGGAGCTAGAAGTTACTAGATTTTCACTGAAAAGATGGCAGCAGCTATGTATATCTTCTCATGCATAGATGAAAAATAAAGATTCACTTGAATCAAAATAAATTCCTAATGAATTTATGTACATGCCCATATATTTTGCTTGACCAAAATATGTAAATGGTTGTCACTGTCTTCAAGATTTAATTTTCAGCCTAGCCTGCAACCTTCAGATTTCTTAATAATCCCGCATCCTAAGCAACTCTGACAATGTTTGACTTTCTTTGACATCAAACATTCCCCCAATTTTTCTTTTTATTGCTATCCATTATTTCCTTCCAAGCCAAGTCATAGAAAGGTGCAAAAAAGGAAGTACCATTTATACTTGTAGATGAGCTGAGAATTTTGGGTTTCAAAATATACTCCCAAAATTGGGTTCAGGTTATCTGCAGACCAGTCTGTCATGGCTTTAAAAACCATAGCTTTATAAACGCTGACATAACACTTTCAATATTCTGTCCACTGCTGTGATTAAAAATTCAAGGATTGACTTATCCACGGGTGACCCATTTTTCATGGCATTTTGGTTGAAATTTCAAGGGTTGGTTTATCTGCAATTATAAATGATAAATGGGCAATACTTTATCCCATCAAAAGTCAGCGCATTTTCCAGCCAATCAACCAATAAATATATTTAAACAAAGATCTTTTCATAAAAGAACATGCAAATGTATATGACAACTCAACAAGGGGAAAAAACCCCTCCCGTGTTAAACTAAAGGATCGCACCACAGTAATTAACAAATAATAAAAGATGCAAAAAATAGGACAACAGCTTGTTTCACACATCTCTAGGGATATTTTAAAAACTGCATCTAGGCGTTATTTTTAAAAATGTTTTCTCCAACATACAGTTCAAAAGTAGAGTTTCTCAACATTTTTCATCTTTAAGGCTGTCTTCTTTCTATAAGAAGGCAATTGCTAGAGTTTGAATAGCTAGCAGCTGTACAAAGCTGGATTTTGCATCTTGTGGCTGGGATGTCAGGACTATGTGGCGGGGGGGGGGGCATGGGTTGACAGATATTAGGTTGGTAAAATGGGAAAACATCATGGTTTTCAGAGAAAGATGGAATGATGGAAGAAACAACAAAAGTCAGAACAAATCTGAACAGGGCCACAGTACCAAAGTATAGTAAGTTAAGGTAAAGGTTCCCCTCGCACATATGTGCTAGTCATTCCCGACTCTAGGGGATGGTGCTCATCTCTGTTTCAAAGCTAAAGAGCCAGTGCTATCCGAAGACATCTCTGTGGTCATGTGGCCAGCATAGCTAAATGCTGAAGGTACACGGAACGCTGTTACCTTCCCACCAAAGGTGGTTCCTATTTTTCTACTTGCATTTTTACATGCTTTCGAACTGCTAGGTTGGCAGAAGCTAGGACAAGTAACAGGAGCTCACTCTGTTACGTGGCACTAGGGATCCAAACTGCCGACCTTTCTGATCGATAAACTCAGTCTTAGCCACTGAGCCACTGTGGAGAACACCAAATAGCAGAGGTTATCTCTGTTGCCACCTTGAAAACTTCACAGGAGAGAATGTGGGCTTAAGTACTGATTACCGCTTAACCTCTGCATCTTCTACTAATTCCATGCATACTTACATGTACTCAGACACTGGTGCATTGGAGATGGTCTGGGCAGGAGGCTGAAGGCTTGTCTGACTGCCCAGGCTGCTACTGTAGCTACAGAAACTACGGAGTTGCCCACGGTTGGGATTGTGGGCAGCAATACGTCGAGCCTGTGGGTTGAAGGGGTCTTCTTCGTCTATGTCATCATAATCCCGATCCCTAGAAGGAAAAAAAACCCAACAACAATGGTCCCTCTTAGAAAATAAAATAAAATTGGAACGCAGAGGATAGTTACGAACAAAGTGGCAAGTGAGAAGATGTTAACACTCATTCCTGGAGGGATGGGGTATTCCAGTTGCTTCAAGTATCCCTTAATTTTAAAGTTTCTTTTGTAATGTTAGCAGAGACCAGGAAAGGAACCATAGTATCTGAAAAAAGAGAGCTTTTGTTTCACTGTAGAAAACCCAACCCTAAGGGACAGTTTGATATTAATCAGGAAGCAGGGAGAAAAAAAAACCCAGAAAGAATGGATTGTGTCAGTGTAGTATTCATGAACTGGAATAGGGCTTAGTAACAAGGTCAGCCTATGGGAGTTGAAACAGTTTGAAGCCTGGGCGTGGGTTAGCTCTGTAGCTCTGAGTCTGTGCTGAGCTCTAAACTAATCTGCTGCTCTGAACTGAAACTGTACTCTGCCTGTGTTTGTTTGTATTTACTACAACATTGGAAAACCTGCCTTTTGGTATTGTATATTTACTTCATGTGTTATATTATATATAAAGAAAAATTAATGAATCCTGCTGAATCAATTACCTTTGTGTGCTTTCTGGATGAGATTGCTACTGCAAACTCTGACAGATTCCTTCACCACTTTTAGGTAATGAAAGAAGAACGAACATACAGAAGTTATCCAAAAATTGATGTTTTGATGATCAGGAATGTATTATTTATTAAGTTTATATGCTACCCATCTCAATTGTTGAGTGACTCTGGGGAGCTTAAAATTAAGGAATGCTAGAGACAGCCTATACGTGATGCTAGAATAATGGGGAGAATATTCTTTTGTTGTGTTTTTCTCTCTCATAGATGAATTGTCTGATTCTCTCCCCCTCTTACTGTTCTCTGCATCCTCTCTCAGAAAATTAAGGGTGAATATGAGAAACCCGGAAAGACACTAAAGGTTTAACTATTCAACAATTGATGAATACATTCTGTTAAGTGACATTAAGTGACCATAACATTACTAAATAACCTTATGCTATGCTATTTAGTCAATATCGCCCATCGCATAATCTCTAGAATGCTTCTTTAAGTTCGTCAACATGCATAGCTCTCAATGAGGAACAGGACAGTAGAAAGATCAGCTCATAACTCTGCAACTTTATTGAAGGAGAAATCAGACTGACGTTCTGGTCATTGCAGAAAATCACCTGTTTTTATTTTATTTATTTTCAAACACATCCCTCTGTCGTCAGCAAGGTTATTTTGACTTTGTGGTATCCCTGGGAAATGTATTCTGTTTTACCTGCTGGTTAAATGTTTCCAGGCTCGAGGCATGGCACATATGATGGTGGAGAAGGATACAGCAGCCATCAGAGAGAAGAGGGTGAGGTAGAGCAAGCCTTCCACCCCATCGTAGCAGATCCCAACCAAGGCATCCAGGTAATCCTTTAGTGAAAGGAAGGGGGGTGAGGGAGAGAAGAAAGGAAGCGTCTTGCTCTCATGCTATGAACACCTTTGTCCCCAAAGTAGAGTGTGTCCTATGCTGTTTACCTTGTGAAGGCCCCTGCAGTCCAGCATGGCAGTCAGCTGGTGGAGGTTGATTTCAGAGTAGTTCAGTAACTTCTGCATATCAAGCAGGTCTTTCTGCAGCAAGGACAAAAGCTATCACAGAAGGGGCATATATTCTATCGGAAAAGGAATGGTGTTCACCATACCTAGAATGACTGCCCAGCCATCACTGTACTGCAGTCGTAGCCTATCCTTTCCGGCTGGCATACACAGTACCGCCGCCCTGATTTTATTTTGTGATATCAAATTGGGCTGAGAAATGGTGAATGGCCCAGTGACTTTCTCTGGCTGACTCCAAATTGGACCCGTTGTCCTTCTGATCTTAATTTGACTATTGCTCAGCATTGGTTTTATAGAAACATGGATAACTTTACAGCTATAGTGGTTTTACAAAACCTCATGAAGAAGAAAAGGGCTTCTTCTCTTGGTACTGCTATTTGTTAGTACCAGGGATTCTCTATCATTTGATTAAACGATAAAAGAAAGGAAAACAGAACTACCTTATTGTTCACCTGTGGGCAATAGATATACACAGAAAGTCATCTCACTTATGCATGGAGGCATTGCTTGATTTCAGATACTTTTGCCATGGAGTTAGCAAAACTGAGGAAGCAAGGACAACCTAATTTTCAGGAAGATATCTGTAATGTTTGTCTGAGATAACATTAAAAAAAAAAAAACAATCAGCCACAGTCATGGCAATTTATTAATTTGGAGTTTCTTTGAAACACTTACTTCTCACAACTTTCAAATCGGGACCGTTTGGCCTCTTCTCAGATAAGCCAATGACTTCATCCCTTGCTCACAATCTCTCATAATGCTCTTGGACTGTGATGGCAAACCTATGGCACGCGTGCCACAGGTGGCAGGCGGCGCCATATCTGAGGGCACGCAAGGTATTGCCCTATGTCAGCTCATGCTGGCCAACTGATTTTCATGCATGCGCGCAGGCCTCACTGAAACCTCCGGATGTCCGGTACGCCCGCTGGGCCTGTTTTTCGCCCTCCCCATGCTCCAGTGGCTTCAGGAAAGCCTCTCCCTTCTGCTTCTGGAGGAAGGCAATAAATGGCCCAACGGGCCTATTAGAAGTCTGGAGGCTTCAGTGAGCCCTGTGCACATGCACGGGGGGGGGGGGGGGGAGGGAGGAGTGTAGGCGCATAACCCCCCATGTGCCTGAACCCGAGAAGCCTATGCGGACAGACACACCTACCCTCTAAAACCAATATTACACTTCATTTCATATGGCAGACAAAATGTGACCATGCATACGTTGTTCAACTCCAACCAATAAGCCTTTGCTACGGTTTGCAGATGCTCATCCATGTTACACAGAACATTGAATGACATTTCCTGTCAAAAACCAGTTTGTCAAGCAATTGGCTTTTTTTAACTAGCAGAAGAAGGCTTTGACATTTCATCTACATCTGAAATATACAAATAGAGCCCCCAATTGCTAATTCTCTTCTGTTCATATAAAATTTAATTACATCTGTTAAAATGGCTTCCAGTCACTACAGTACTCTGTCCTTTATATTCTTTGGATATGTTGGGAATACAGCTCATAGAATTACTACCTGGAGACACCAAATCAGTGAAGACTATGATTACAGGGGATCCTAGACCCTGTAACCTCTGTTACTGTATCGTCATGGCATCTGTGTCCCGTCAACCATAAACAATGATTTTCCTGCTGCTTGCTTTATCTTCAGGTACCGCGTTTTCCTGAAAGTAAGACAGTGTCTTATTTTCTTTTGACCCCCCAAAATAAGCACTTGCCCTTATTTTTGGGGAGGTCTTATTATTTTTGAGGTGCAGGAAGCGGCGAGTGTGGTCACCTCATGGTTGGTGGTGTGTTGCAATATTTTCAGGGAGGGCTTATTTTTGGGGGAGGTCTTATTTTCAGGGAAACAGGGTAGTTCCTAAGAATATTCAACATTTCCCTGGTTAAATATGTGCCCATATTTTGTATTTGCCAAATACTGTTTCTGAAGCAGCAGGTGGGACCCACTTCTAAATGTATGTAATTCAGAAGCTTCCATCAAAGAACGTTGCCTGCTTCCAGGGGAAAAGACAACATTGTGCAACTTACTTTGGCTGTAGGGAAAAAAGGCACTGCAAACTGCACAAGACCCTGAATCTGGATCTGCATGGTTGTGAGAGAACGCTGGTAAATAGTCAGGGCCTACAAATAAAGAACACATCATGCAAGGTATTAGCCTTTTTTTTCCTACATAAATCTTGGGGTACAGGCAATCCTTGACGTACGACCACAATCGAGCCCAAAATTTCCATTGCTGAGCGAGACAGTTGTTACCTGAATTTTGCCTCATTTTGCAACCTTTCTTGCCAGAGATATTAAGTGGATCACTGCAGTTGTTAAATTAGTAATACAGCTTTACGTGAATCTGGCTTCTCCATTGACTTTGCTTGTCATAAGGTTACAAAAGGTGATCATATGGCCCTGGGACACTGCAACCATCAATAAATACATGACAGTTGCCCAGCGTCTGAATTTTGATCACTTGGCCACAGGGTGCTGCAATGTTGGTAAGCCTGAAAAATGATCCTGTTACCTTTTTCATTGCTGTTGTAACTTTGAATGATCACTAAACTAATATTTGTAAGTCAAGGATGTCCTGCAAACAGATTAAATGCTATCCTCTTTCAACCCCTAGGAGTCAGTCCACACTCTTTTACATCAACATTCAAAACATCGGAAAGCTTTCTCTCCCTGGAAATCCAATGAGCCAAATGGTTCTCTTACCTACATTTCATAATTAATACCTTCTAGGTAGAGGTCCAACTTGCCAGGACTTACTGAGATTACAAAAGCCATAGGAGACATCAAGGCTGGATCTTCCAAACTAACAAACATGTTCAGATAAGGATGTTTCCTTACCTGGGGAGAGCCCAGTGGTGCAGTAGTTGGAATGCAGTATTGCAGGCAAACTCTGCCCACACACCAAAAGTTTGATCCTGACAAGCTCAAGGTTGACTCAGCCTTCCAAGGTCAGTAAAATGAGGACCCAGTTTGCTGGAGGCAATAAGCAAACAATGCTTCTAGACTATAAACAGACCAGAGAGTGCTATAAAACGCTATGGGGCAATACATAAGCCTAAATGCTATTGCTATTTTTATGGAGAGTAATGCTCACCAATTTTCCCTGCCCTACTACTGAAAGCAAGCTGATTCTTGGAATAAAGAGCCATGCTTCTCTTTTCATTGCTGTTGGGGGATCCTTTGCCAATGATGTACAAAGGCAAGCAAGTTCTTACCTGTTGAAAGGGGCTGGTCGGACTCTGTCTACAATACAGGTAGTACTGTACGATTTCTACAAAAGCAAGGTTCAAGAGGAAGAGAGTTAGTTATTGATTAAAGTGTGACACTTTTAGTAACTTGTAAACCACACTGGGTCAGCACTGATCAGCATCAGTTGAGACAGCACTGTATGGGGTGTCTCAGTTTACAATGCTGGCATTGTCTAATGTATGTTAAAAAAAATAATGCTGCAGAAAAGTTTGTATCTAAAGGTTTTGGCAGACTTTTGACATAAGCAGAATGAGAAGCAATACTTGAGTAAATCTATTTTCATGTGCCACATAAATCATAGCCTGCCATGAATGTTTCAGCTTTCATTAATGATAAAGCTACATCTTACACCATATCTCATAAATACTGTCCATAAAAGCAAATGCTAAGGATATCTAATAAATGATTGGTTCACCAAATCCCTACCTTACTTAACCCTTCCTCACTTGATGATTCTTCCAAAGCAATCTCCCCTCCTAATCTGAAGTTCTGTCTTAGTATCTTAAGAGACACAGCAAATGCCAAGGATAATTAGCAAATGGTCACTTCACATAATCTCCTATCCCTACTAAACTTACTTAACCTTTCATCTTTTGCAGATCCTTCAAAACAAGTTGGAACAACTAAGCTGTGGTTCTACTTTAATAAAAGGAAATAAAATGAAATCTAAGTCCCTAGTTTAAGAAAAAAAATCTCAGAACTTCGGCAAACATTAACAAAGGGGATGTTTGGGCACAGATTCTATAATCGGGAGTATTCTCTTATTGCCTCTGTTCACTGGATATGTTAAACTGGTTTTTACCTCAAACAGCCAGGGGACCCTTGTGGAGTAAATTAACTCTACTTACTGTATTTTTCGGCGTATAAGATGCATCTTTTTCCCCTCAAAAAAGAGGCTGAAAATCTGGGTGCATCTTATACATTGAATACAGCATTTTTTTGTCTCACGAAACCCCATCCCCTTCACCAAAATGGCTGTGCATAGCTTTTAGGAGGCTTTCAGAGTGCTCCTGGGGGCTGGGGGGGGGGGCAGAAATGAGCGAAGAGCGGGCAGTTTTTTGCTCAGTTGTGGCCCCCCAGCCCCCAGGAGCACTCTATAAGCGTCCTAAAGGCTATCCATGCCCTTTTTTTTGACAAAAATGGGCCTGTTTTTGTGATAAACGGGTCATTTTTGCTTGTCTCCCTCCCCCCAAACACTCTACAAACCTCCTAAAGGCTATTCATGCCCTTAAAAAAATGGGCCTGTTTTCGTGAAAAACTGGCCGTTTTTGGGAGGTTTGCAGAGTGCAAAAACGGTTTTTTTAATTTGCCTCTTCAAAACCTTGGTGCATCTTATACTCTGGTGTGTCTTATACTCCGAAAAATATGGCAGTCAGTATTCTCATAAGATGACAGTTCATGGACTCTTAAGACTAGACTAGAAGACCTCCAAAGTCCCGTCTAACTTTTTGATTCTATGATCTTTCCATGCTACCAAATCAGAAGTAAGTTTTAGAATGACCCAACAAAATTGGTCCCTCTAAGATCTACTTGTGTGCTCCTTGTTTTCTTTTAACCCTTCCATACATAGTCACAAAGTAGGTTGGAAAAGCACAATCAGGATTCTGAGCACTTTCCACATAAATATTCACATTATCCCTCAAATGTGGTACCTTAAAATCTCTGGATTTTATATACTGATGTTTATCTATGCAGAGCTGGGTCTAAGGTTTACATCAGTTTTATTTCTCTTCTTTCAATTTTCACTTAAGGGGTTGTCCTCCACTACTCAAACGATGGCAAAAGCAATATTTTTACCTGCACTGAGGTCACTTTTTGTCATATTCAGAATGAATTTATCTGGAGACACGCAAAAGTCACTGGTACCCTATAAGAGGCAAAATTTTATTTATTTATTTAGTATAATTTTTATTACATTTTTTAAAAAAGAAGACAAAATTAATGTTTTTAAAAAGGAAGTTATCATTACTAGAACTTCTACTTAAGGAGGTTACATGCTGAAGAGTTAAGAAATTGTTTCTACATATCCCATCATTGCCAAGTGAATGGATAGACTGCACAGGTAGAATGTGCATATGAATTTAAGATATGAAACCTTCCTATGAATCTGCATTTGTTTTAACTTTTATTCTTCTATGTTGAATATATACACCAATTATATCTATATGAAAACAAAGCACATGTAAAAATCAAGGTGTTCATAAAAGTAGACTTCTCAGATAACAAAGGAACCAGACCAATAAGGATGCTGCAATAATTGTTAAATATCTCATGCTTAGATGAAATTTACTTTCTGATACTACCATCTGTCAAAAAATTAGAATAACCAAAGTTTGAAAATATAACATAAAGGAAATCATTTAATCTCTTCCTGGCTCCCCTTGAAATCTAAATTGGCAGTGCTGAAGGTACATGGCAAATTAATTTTTCTCTGCCTGAGGAAGCAGAGCAGGCAGGCAACCAAGCAAAACACCTTCAAGATGGCATCTGCTCATTTTAAATAACCAATCTCCTTGTTGCTCAAAATTCCTCTTGCTAAGTATGCATTGTGCTATGAGAAGGTATGATTCTGGAAACATAAAAGCAGGAAAGGCTGCAGGAAGCAAGGCAAGGAAGAACAAAAAAAGCCTCCCCAAGGAACAGGCCTTTTAGCTGTCAGAAAGTTGGAAAGAACAGTTCGGCGGCCTCCGGTGGTCAGTGACCGGGACCTAAGGCATCACAGTAAACTTAGTACACTGAGCCCTTAAAAACAACCACAGTTTGACATTAAAGAGACAGAAAACTCAAGTTCAAGTGTCGGGCTTACCACTGCTGCTGAAACATCGGCTGCAAAGGAAGCCCAGCTGAGACAAAGTGTGAAAAGTCCACAGCACAGCATCCTGTGGGCAAAAAATAAACAACAAAGAGTCAACAGGAAACTTCAGAAAGGTGACAGCAAGACTCTGCACCATCGGTCTGAGCGCTGTAACAGGATAGAGGCTTATGTTGCCATTGTTCTTGCTCCTATAACAGTGAACCTTTTCAGCACTGAGTGCCGAAACTGGAGCATGTGCATGGTAGAGTGCTGGAAACCAGAAGAGCAGTTTCCCAGCGTGCACGCTTGGGAGCGCCGGAAACCAAAAGAGTAGTTCCCCGGCATGCGCACCAGGAAACTAAGCTTCCAGTTTCCTGGTGCGCGCATGCGTGCCAGGGAGCTGCTCTTAGGGTTTCTAGTACTCGCATGCGCGCAAAGATCAGCTGATGCACATGTGTGTTTTGGAACCCGGAAGAGCAACGGGTGACGGATTGCCTGCCTGGAGAGATGGCTCTGCGTGCCACTTCTGCCAAGCGTGCCATGGATTCGCCATCATGGTCCTATAACATGTTCTAGGACAAGTTTTGACGTGGCACGACAAAACCGCGCTACGCAAAATAGCGGAGATTAAATCGCGTCACTAAAGTCGCGACGTCATCA